GGGTTTCAAATCTGGCTTCAGTTTGCTTTCCAGACTTTCTTCTTTGGCACCGAGAACAGCATTCGGGTTTCTGGTAACCTCTTTAATGAATCTCTGGGCCGCAGAGCAACTTCTGCAGACTTCCCTTTAATGTTCTTTCTTTCTTTCAACTGAGGGAACTCAAAACTGCCCTAAATATTCCTCAAAGGAATCTATCCACCACAAGATATTTCAAACAGCTATGACTGATTTGTGTTTTGTTGTCCCAAAAGGTTATTTTGCAACTTTTTTTGGGGTGGGGGACATAGTCCAGAGAAGCATTTCTCTGGGCTTTCCTTGCCCTCTGGATGCCCGTTTCTACAGCCTAGCACCAGTGGTCTATTTCCATACCATTTGCCTTGGGTCAGAAGAGTCTTTAAGAAGACCAACCTCTTACTGAAATGTCAACATACCAAAATTAATTTTTCCTTGTTCAGTATTTTCTATTATTGCTATTCATCTTCTGAAATGTCCTTCTCTTGCATAGCACAATGTTTTGTTGGAAATTAAATGTCAGGAACAGAAAAGGATCACACCACTTTTCTACTTTAAACCACACTGCTATATACAATAGCACATCATTGTGTGCTTTTCCAAACATGCTCAAGCTTTTAAAACATTTTGCAGTAAAAGTGGTGCATCTCTCTGGTTAAGATGTAAACCTACAGGAAGCTCATTAACAGACAGATCCAGCAGAGTTTAATTTTGCACTGATCCCAAGGTATTTCTTCTATAATTTCAAATACAAGTTTTTAATGCTGAAATCTGCAAAGATTAAAAGAGAAAAAAATGAAAAGAGGTGGCAATAATGAATGAAATAACATTTAAGGCAAAAAATATTCCCTTGAATATTTCCCTTCATTAGAATGACTTTAAAGTTAAGGTGATGGAATAAATTTAATCTAAACTGGTTTTCCCTCAACACTTCATTTTATTTGAAATACAAATATCTGTTGGGTTCAGAGTGACAAACTTGAAATTTTTGTGCTCCCTCAAATGTAACCTTAGCAGTTTCTCTCACCCTAAAGAAATTTATTCTTTGAGAGACCTAGGATGTGGATGGATAGGAACAGAAATGAAAAATTTTAAAAAGAGAGAGATAAGCACACACATAAATTAAGAGCATTTCAACATTTGCTGAAAGCCTGTCACAAAATAAAGACATACAGAGAGAAAAGAGCATTAAAACAATTCCATTTGGTCAGGTTGAAAAACAACTCCTGCCATATGGAGAAAAGTAATAGAAAATCTATTGGCAAAGTCAGTAGTATTTCCAGATCTATTTTATATACTGATTTATTTCATTTCTATACTGCCCCACAACTGAAGCTCTCTGGTAGTAAGTTTTGTATCAACACTGTAGCTTGCATGATCTGAAGAAAAGGATGCATTTCTGAGATTTCTTCAACTTGTGCACTCTCATGATTCCCAGTGGTTGCTTCTGAGGATTCATTATTTTGGACAATGTGTTTGAAAGGTCAGATTTTACTGCTACAGATATATGTACAATTCTTGGATGGGGTGGGTGAATATGCCACCAATATACAACCCATATGTCTTATAGATATCCTAAGAGGAAAACAGAGGAAATCATTCCCAGGGAAAGGAATATACAGAAAGTATGCAACCAACTACAGAACAGGTACCTTTGTACCTGTTCTACTGTCCTTGTTAATTTATTATTATTCCTCAGATATGCACATCAAAAAATCAGGCTAGGAATAGCCAGAAGATAATCGCATTTGACAATACTGTGGGAATCCTACACTTAAATTTAGCACCAGTGTGAGCTTATAGCATGCTGCGCTGCCAGGACCTCTGGAACTTATGTGAGATATTGGCCATGTTTAGACAGTAAGCCAGAATGTATCAAATCTAAGTAAAAACCATGTTTGAACATTCTTCTTCCAGAACAGCCATGAACAAGGAATTTGCAAGCTTCCACTTCCACTTTGAACTAACCAGAGCTTAGTATAAAATTGTAATCAGTCTTACTATGGTTAGTTGGAAAAAGCGAACTTTGAACCATGTGTTTTGAAGTTGCCTTTTATCAACCACAGTTTATAATTCAGATTTAATGCTAAACTGTGGTTAACTGAAACCAGATGGAAAAGCGTCTGATCTCTCATGCAGGAGAAGAGAGGAGAGGAGAGGAGGGGCATATGCCTGAGCTCAAGGCTTGTACATGTAATAGATCACATGCTGCCATTCGCCATTGGGGCCTGCTTCCTGCCGTTGCCTCTGCAGCCTACCCACAAGTGCTGGCACCTTTGCAGCCCTTTGAATGCTGCTTTCCCTTCACCCCGCTGCCACCATATTCGCAGCGTGCCTCCAACCACCGGCGAGGTCAGCCTCTGGCGGCTGCCACCTTTGTAGCCACTGCCTTCACCATCAAGGCCTGCCTCCAGCTGCCACCACTTTCATGGCCCCCTGCCTCCACCATTGAGGCCTTCATCCCGCCTTTAGCTGCTGGCACCATTGCAGCCTGCTGCCTCTGCCACTGAGGCCTTCATGCAGCCACCATCAAGGCCCACCTCTGGTCACTGCTGCCTTCATGGCCTGTGGCCTCCACCTTCGAGCCTTTAATTCTGCCTTTGGCTGCTGCTACCTTCGCCCACTGAGACCCCTACAGAAACCATGGTAAACCACCTGGATACCTTAGTGCGAGCCTCTCTCCCCCTTGCTCTCTCTCTCTTTGGCTCCTCTGGCATGCCTGGCAGTTATCTCACATCCCCAATCTTGGGGTTCCCCCACTGGTTCCTCTAAGGACCACAAACCTCATCCAACCAGACCCCCAGAACATACTCCTGACCTTCCTGGTGATTGCACAGCCCCTGCCCACTGGACTGTTGTCACCCCATCTCCTTCTCTAGTTGTTCAGACTCATACAGACAGCACGGTTCTTCACTATGCCCACAAGGCCCTTGCCTCTGACATCCCTTGCACAGGACAACTGTGCTTCTTGCATTGTCCTTCATGCACTGTAATGGCAGAAGAAGAGAGCCCCTATCCCTCCTTGGACTCTCCACATGAGTCCCATACAGCATCTCCCTAGTCTGAAAGATGGCAGGTTTTGACTTCACTGTATGCCTGAGCACATACTCCATGGACTCCTGGGCTGCCTTGACCCCCTTTCGCTGCACCCAGATGAACAGCATCTCAAGAGCCACCATGTGGTCCATGCCCTCGACCTCCGGCTGCTGCCACCATCTGATGCCCACACAAGGCGAGCCTCTTGGCTGGGTGGTCCTCTCATCATTCCTTCAGCAATGACAGCCCCTCCATCCTCGGGGGGTAAGCTTGCCCATTGCCCATATGTGTCTGATACACGGAGACCATGATAAAGAAAGGTTGCTTACCTGTAACCATCATTCTTTGAGTGGTCATCTGTGCATTCACACAATCTGCCCTCCACCCCGCTAGCTGTTGTCAGCTGGTACCCCACTGTGTTTATGTCTGTGTCTGTTCAGTTGCCTGGAGATGGTGCGGTCTCCAAATCACGGGGCAGGGTCTCCTCCCCTTATAGCAGGACTCCAGAGGGGATGGGTGGTCCTGCCCACTCCATGACACTGAGCAGTAGAAGTTTCTTCTGACCTAGGCCTTCCTCTGGTGCTTAAGCTCATATGTGTGTGAATGCACAGATGACCACTTGAAGAACGATGGTTACAGGTAAGCAACCTGTCTTTTTTATATTTAAATTAAATTATCATTTAAAAATTTGCACCTCTCCGTATACATTTGTAAATGAAAATGTTATGCAAATTGGTATCTCTTTTTGTACTCCTTGTGATGATTCAGTTAATTATTTCTTGAGGTGTGTAAGTGGTCACCCCAGTAGGTAAGCATAAACCTTTATCTATTATTACAAGTGAACCCACCCACACTGTTAAAATCTTCTGATCTGTCATCTTTAGTAGCATACTGGCATTTATTTTTATAAACAGCATTCCCATCTTTCTTATTCATTCTTGTTTAATAATAATGGGCCATAGCATAACTGTGCCTTCCTTTGTGTAGAGATCTGTTCTCCCCTGCAGAGGAAGGCAGGATGCGCTCAAACAGAGCAAAGCTCAGGGAACCAAGGTTCCATTTAGATGCCAGGAAGCACTTCCTGACAGTTAGGACCCAGAGGGTGTGGAATGGGCTTCCACGGGAGGTCGTTAAGGCCCCATTGGTGAGGATGTTCAAAGATAGGCTGGACATGCACATGGTGGGCATGTCATGAGCAGAGCCGGCTGGAGCCGGGGGTCAGACCAGATGGCCCGGGAGACCCCTTCTGATTTGCTCTGTTTCTATGTTTCTCCTGGGGCCACAGCCTTTGTCTTACAGTTTAAACCACCTCACTAAAATTCTGGTAGTGCACAAAGAGAAAGAGCATGAAGAAAGGCTTCTCAGTGTTTAAATCTAAGTCAAACAAAAATGGAGGAAAACACCCTTGCATTACTAACATCACCAGCTCTTCATAAAGGTTAGTCCAGAAGCAGAGTGTGCATCTGTCTAACAAAAGAGAGCCAAGACTAAACTATACACAGGGCCACAGTTGGAGTATTGGACTGAAGCAGCTGAACATTAGATTAAAACGAAAGAAAGCTGATCAGACATCTTAGAAACAAAGAATGTCTTCAGCTTATAGAAAGCCCTAATCATAAATGAACTCTGCAATGGGATGCACAAAATACCACCTTCTCTACTTGGTGGGGTTTCTTATGGCCTTATTTTTCCCAGGCAACACATAAAAACAACAATACAGCTTAACAGCTTTCCACATTTTCCTTTAGTAACAAGGGGAGAAATTACAGCCACACTCAAGTTATTAAGATGCCTTCTCCACTGCAACAATTTTAATTTAGAGTGGTTTTATTGTTGCAGATTATGGAGGAGTTTCTGTGATAAAGTCTAATTGGTATAAGCAAGATGTAAAGGTGCCAAAATGCTTCCTGAAGTATAAACAAAATCTCTTTCTCAAACAAAAAAGGACTCACCCAGTTGAAGGATTCATGATGCAGCCTCTGTCAGTAGATGCTTTACAGTTGCAGCCCCTTTCCAGTGTATCATGGTTCATCCCAAAATTATGGCCCAGTTCATGAGCCAGAGTTACTGCTGCTCCCAAAGGGCTGTCTGAGTGATCCTCAAAAGAAAATACACATATACACACACATGAACAGAATAAATATCATTGTTAAAAATAACAAATAGTGGTATTAAAGTAGTAAAAAAACCCTTTATTGGTATAGTTAAAATATTGCGTGTAACATAAAACCGTAGTCTAAAACATACAGGCTTAAACAAACTAGCTTCCCTGAAGAAAAGGGATGGCAGAGCTTTCTTCTTGGGATTTCAAATAAACTGCTACTCTCTCCAGAACCACAGGCATCTCAGCAGATAATACATTCCATACTTTATCCATATCTGACCAGCCACACATCTTTTCTAGAATCAGGCCGAGGTATTTCTATGAAGACCTCTATGAAGGGGGCACTAGAAGAACATGTCTGCAAGTGATTCAGAACTGCCCATCTCAGAGAAGCATGACTTTCATCATAGGGACTCCCATTAAATTTATCATAAAACAACACCAAGGGCATGACATTACATCTAGAGAGTAAAAATGCTCTCTGGACATTTTAGGCAATAAAAGATGGTGGCCAATTGGTCAGATTTACTAGGAATGTGCAAGTTTAGTGGGGAACATGTTTTATTAGCTGCACTCCAAAGTTCCTGCCATTCTATGTCCAATATTTTCTCCTTGATCATTCTCAAAGCCTCGATTTGACTTAAGGCTCCTAGTGACTCTGAGCTGATTCCTATCAATATTCATTTTTTTACAAGATCTATAGTGCCAATAGGCAGGTCAGAGTCTAACAGAAGCTGGTATATTATTTATTTATGTATTTACATATATTTATAAGCGTCTGTATTAAACAAGTTTGATCAGGAATATAATATATTCTAAGCCAAAATTGAACCAACCTTAACCAGGCCCGAGTCATTAACCAGGATTGGCCAGTTTCTAAGAAGAGAGCAGCATAGGGAACGCAATGTGATAATCCTAGAACTTTACATATGGAGGCCTGTATCTGTTCAATTGAGTGATCGATAGTGCTTTGCTAGATTTGAAAACCATACAAACTTGTGGTATGACTTTGACCTTGAATACCTTCAAGATTGCTGGTAGATATCTATTACCTTCAGTGTAATAAAATTGGGCAATAACTTAAGCTGTGAATCTGGCTACATTTATTGTTGCTTTATGATGTGCCACCCAAAAATGATTATAATGAAAGGTAATATCAAGATATTTGTACTGTTTGATTTGCTCAATTTTCTTTCCATTACAATTCCAGCTAAGTTGTTTCCATTTCTTCGCAAGACCAAAATTTTGGCCGTGTCATGATTTAATTGTAAGTTGTTAAATACTCCACACTTCTATCAATCATGCACTTCAAACCAATGCACATCTGAGAGAGAAGTGCAGCATTGCCTGCATACAGATGCAATGGAACAAGTCCAGTACCAAGTCTAGGGCAATGGGCCTCAACTCACTCTATATATGGAGCTAGATCATTTAGAAAAAGATTGAACAGTAAGGGAGCAAGAATACAGTCTTGTTTAATTCCCCTATTTACTGTTGTCTGTTTGGTTAATTCTCCACTCCAGGAAGATTGAATCTGGCAGGATATATTTGGGTATAATACTCTGATAAGGGATAGAAATCTTCTGTCCATATCTAATTTGTGGAGTTTCTTCCATAATATTTTCATGTCAATTGAATTGCAAACTCCCTTTCTCTCTAGACAGGTTACACAGAGTTACACAGAGTTATGAATTTGCTTCCTTTATCTATTTGTTGATAAGATGTGACAGAATTAAGCAGTTATCAAGAGTAGATCTGCCTTGCCAGAAACGTGCTTGTTCTGGATCACCAATTGCCTGCTTTCTGGTCCATAAGAGAAGTTTGTTTAGGAAGTATGTCACATACACCTTCCCAAAGACCAATAATAGGCTGATAGGTCTAACATTTGGTGGTAGTTTATGGTCATCCTTTTTATAAATAGGTACAGTTATTGCATCTGTCCATTCTGTGGGAATATCCTTGACCTATCTAACAAGAGGAAGAAAATGTCTGCACTAAACTGGCTCCCCATTGAAGTCCGGGCCCAATTCAAGGTGTTGGTTATCACCTATAAAGCCGTTAATGGCTTGGGTCCTGATTACCTGAAGGAGCGCTTATGTCCATATATGCCCGCCTGCCCCTTGAGATCGGCAGCAGAGGCCCTTCTCCAGGAACCCTCCGTGAAAGATATTAGGAGGGTGAGTACCCGGAGGAGGGCCTTCTCTGCGGTGGCGCCCCACCTATGGAATGCTCTCCCCAGAGAGGTCCGCCTGGTGCCATCGTTATTTGTTTTTCGGCACCAGGCCAAGACCTTTTTATTTAAAAGTTATTTTAATTGTTAACTTACGAATTGTATTGATGGGACTTTTAGGTATATGCCAAGATGCTTCCGGTTTTTTTAAACTCTAATTGTACAAATTGTTTATTTATGTTTATTTATTATTGTTGTAAGCTGCCCCGAGGCTTTTTGCAAATGGGGCGGCATAAAAATGGTTTAAATAAATAAATAAATAATAAAAAAAAGGGTGTATTTAGTAATTTTGAATGGATTGGGTTGTGACAATTTTTCACTCAAGGCTTTTCAGATGTCTTTTTAATGTCTTTTTAAATGTTCTCAGCCACTTCATTATCTAATTTGTTGCTTTTTTTAAAAGTGCCAATCTCTTCTCTCTTATTGTATGTTCCCAGCCAATCATGGAATACATAATAAGTAAGATGATGTTGCTGTAATAGTATATAGCCAGTCAGTTTTGGCTAAGAAATATTAACATTGAGAGCAAATAATAATATTCATGGGCATAAAGATGAAATGACTGGTTGATCCTCTTGTCTTATGCTGTTACTTGGGTGGTTTCATTGCACTTTTCCTGTCCTGCCTTGGCAATAAGGGAATCCATTCCCTTCTTCCACAGCTCACATTCTAATTTTTAAAAAATCAGCCAAGCCAAGCCAACAATGATTTTTTAAAAACTAGATAACTGTGCACAATTTCCATTGATACATGTAAAATAAAAATACATAAATGACATAGAAAATGCAACATTTGTTTTTGCTGAAGTTTTACAACAAACACAATAGTCAAAAACTTCACATAATGAGTGACAACTTTTCCCCCTACTACATGCCAATCCAAAGATCACCAAGAGGGAGTCCCCTTTCATCCAAAGGCTGAAATATTTAATAACTCCAGGATACAGCTCTAATTTTTTGTTTTTTAAATCTGTGTTTGGATTTTCTGAAACTTTGAGTACTGAATATAAAATCTGCCTCTCAAAAGTTGTGTATTTCTGTTATTCTAAAAGCAACAATTCTACACTTATAAAATTGAAAGGCAGTCTCTCACATAACAAACAACTGCAGAGAAAACAACACTGTGGAGTGGAAATTAACCATTTGAATGTACAGTATATCATTGTGTTGCAAATCACAATATCAGGCAGAAAAATCCTTACTGGACAGGGGGAATCCACCACTCCCCAAAATCTGACTGGATTATCACAACAGGTGACTGGCAATGTGGCTTGAATAAATAAAATGTGGAAGTGCCTGCTGCCATGTCCCATTGTGAATATTCAATCCACAGTGGGCAGTTGCTGCAGCTTGTCATGTCATGTGAACCTTACTATGGTTAACAAGCCACCCAGGAGCCATGGTCTGTTTTTGTGTTCTTGTGTAACCTGTTAACCATGGTAACAAGCCGCCCTGCCCAGGCTGGCATCACACAGTAAGCCATGATGCCCTCCTTCTGTATCTGCAAGATATATGCTACAAGTTACCATGGCTTATTTAAGCCGTGCTTTTGGCAGTTGCTTGTACAAACCAAAGCTCTGCCAGGCTTATGTGTGAATGGCCTCTGAAAAATAAGTGCATCAGCTCCAGGGCTGACATACTTTCCCTCCTTTCAAGTGGGCTTTGGATCCTTCCTTGATCCACCCCCACTACAACCCTTCCCCTCCTGCTGCCATTAGAGTGTTGATGACGGTGGAAGGATTCCTGTGTAGGTTTCTACTGCCCTGATGAGGGGGCCTGTGGAAGCAGACCTCCAGAAAGGGATACCCACCTAGGGTGATAGGAGCTAACCCTTAGTGTGAAGCAATTAATCTCTGTCATTACCAGCTCTGAACTACCAATATAGTTAATATATAACAGTAGTTAGAGTTATTGCTGAATCTGCAGATACAAGGGGATTTTTTAAGTGCAATGAGAACATTCCATAATGTGCATCAGTGTTATCAGCAAGATAAAGATAAATAAAATAAAGATGCTCCCATAGCTGGACTGGGTCAATGAACTATTTGGCTTTCACAAGACAGTATTATTGTCATATTCAGAGAGGGAACTATCTTTGGTTCATTCTGAAGACTGGTTTATTAGCTATCTAAATTTATCAAAGCAGGAAATGCAGTGTCACAGCAAAGAGATTGCCTGAAGACAATCTAAACAAACAATTGAAAGCTTTCACTTTAATGAGAAAATTATGTGCTGCTTGAAGAATGTGCAGATTCTGAGTTTCTAATTTATTCTTCCTTCAGTTCTTAAGTTCTTTCATTAGTCAAATGTGTTAGCAAGATGTCTCACAGTCACCAAACAGGAAATCATCTATACTTCAAATGCTAGCCACCCAACTCCAAAGGCTAAGGACCAGTGAACAAAAGACTGGAATAGTTTTAGAATAGTTTCAGTAAAACCCTGCCTTTTGAAATTGTTATATCATGCATGCTTTGACAATAACAATGGCTAGTTTAACAGTAGTGGTTTTGCAGTCTATCCTCACTCAGTAAGGACAGCTTCACATCACATTGTTCTTAAATGGAGATTTCTGTGTTTAGGAGAAAAAAAACACCCTCCTCTCATATAGAGCCTTTTATAAAATCTTTCAAATTCAACAACCCATGCACCTGATTTGGTCTTGTGTAAGGTGTTTGTACGTGCCCTTAATTAATCCCCTGTAGTGTACTTAGTGCTTCTAATATGTCCTTCAGTTTTTTTCCCACCTGGTTTGGCAAGTCTTCCTCTTGAATCTGGCCAATTTTTGGAACAGGGTGCTGACCAGAACAGTTGACCAGCTACTCCAAGAACACTACTCCTACTGATCTGAATTAAGGTGGCTGTCTGTGCTCTGGGGCACTACTGGAAATGAGCACTGCGACTCTGAGCATTGGGCAGCTGGCTTCAAATAGTCTACTTATGTGCAACATGTCCAAGCAAGCTGCTGCTCTGTAATTCCAGGCACTATTGAATGATCTGGATCAAATTCAGCTTGGTTTTGGCACTGAAACAGCCTTGATTTCTCTGATGAATGACCTATGCCAAGAGAAGGCTGGGGTAATGTGACAGTGTTAATTCTCTGGAATCTCTCAGCAGTTTTCAGTACCATCCATAATAACATATTTCTGAATTAGATCTCTGGAGCGTCAGCCCAATTCATGGTGATCCTCTTAACCCAGAAAGCTTTACATGGCTCAGGACAGCAAGTGCCTCTCCCAGTATGAACCTTCCTATATATTATGGTCAACATGGGAGGCCTTCCTCCCAGTGCATCCTTGGAGGGAAACTTAGAGAATAGCAACATGGGAGGCAGCTCCCTGATAATGGAATGCTCTTGTGTCTGGCACCAACGCTTCCATCTTGTCAGCACCAGGTTAAGACTTTCTTCTGCTCCCAGACATTTAACAGCATATGATGAGGTACTTTAGTCTTTATCAGATCCTATTAGTTTTATTGTCAAGTGTTTTTAACTTGTTTGCACATTATTTCAAATGCTTGAATGTTAGAAGATTTATTATATGCTTTAGCATGTTGTGAACTTCTCAGAAAACTTTGCCTTTCAGCTACAGAGAAATGTAATAGTAATCAAACAAAATGTAATGTAATGTAATTTAATTGTTCTCTCTATTATACTAGAAGGTGGTACTGGCAGTCTGTTGCTCTGTGCCTGTGATAAAGTGTTCTGAAAGGTTCCATAACTTTTGTTTTCCATCCCATTTAATATCTACATGAAACCAATAGAATCAAGGGAGGGTTTTTTATTGTTGTTCTTAGCCTCCCTGCTTCCCTGCTTGCAGGATACTGTTGCTGTTGCTAGTTGCAAAGTCATGTACTACCCTTCGTGACCCCATGGACAACACTCCTCCAGGCCTTCCTGTCCTCCACCATCCCCAGGAGTCCACTTAAGCTCACTCCGACTGCTTCAGTGACTCCATCTAGCCACCTCATCCTCTGCCATCCCCTTCTTCCTTTGCCATCAATTGTCCCCAGCATTAGGGTCTTCTCCAATGAGTCCTTCCTTCTTATTAGGTGGGCAAAGTATTTGAGTTTCATCTTCAGTATCTGTCCTTTTAAAGAGCAGTCAGGGTTGATCTCCTCTAGGACTGACTGGTTTGATCTCCTTGCAGCCCAAGGGACTTGCAGGAGTCTTCTCCAGCATCACAATTCAAAGATCTCAATTCGTCGGCGCTCAGCCCTCCTTATGGTTCAGCTTTCACAGCCATACATTGCAACTGGGAAAACCATAGCCTTGACTATACACAATTTTGTTGGCAAGGTGATGTCTCTGCTTTTTAGTATGCTGTCTAGATTTGCCATAGCTTTCCTCCCCAGGAGCAAGCATCTTTTAATTTCTTGGCTGTAGTCAGCATCTACAGTAATCTTGGAGCCCAGAAAAATAAAATCTGTCACTACCTCCATTGCTTCCCCATCGATTTGCCAGGAAGTGATAGGACTGTTTGCCATGATCTTAGTTTTCTTGATGTTGAGTTTCAAGCCAACTTTTGCACTCTCCTCTTTCACCAGCATCAAGAGGCTCTTTAGTTCCTCTTCACATTCTGCCATTAGAGTAGTATCATCTGCATATCTGAGGTTGTTGATATTTCTCCCTGCAATCTTAATTCCAATTTGTGATTATCTAGCCCAACCTTTCACATGATGTGTTCTGCATATAAGTTAAATAGGCTGGGTGACAATATACAACCTTGCCATACTCCTTTCCCAATTTTTGCAGGGTACTAAGGAATAAAGCTAAAGGTAAAGGTTTCCCCTTGACATTAAGTCCAGTCATGCCTGACTCTAGGGGGCGGTGCTCATCTCCGTTTCCTAGCCAAGGGAGCCAGCGTTTGTCCGCAGACATTCTCCGTGGTCATGTGGCCGGCATGACTAAACACTGAAGTGCACAGAACGCTGTGACCTGCCCACCAAAGTGGTACCTTTTTATCTACTTGCATTTGCATGCTTTCGAACTGCAAGGCTGGCAGGAACTGGGACGGAGCAACGGGAACTCACCCCGTTGTGTAGATTCGAACTGGCGACCTTTCGATCAACCAGCCCAGCATCACAGCGATTTAAACCACTGCGCCACCTGCAGTCCCACTAAGGAATATAAATATGCAAATCTTCACTATATGTGATAGGGAGAACACTAAGTCTGCCCCACCTTTTTTTAACAATACTTTCTTTGTAGAATAGGATCCATGATTTTGGTTTTTTGATGCTGGTACTTTTTAATTATTACTTTGACTTCATGATTTTTAATTAGTCTGAATTATTTTACTACTTGTTATAAGGTAAAATGAATAATAATACTTCATATATTCATACTTCCAATATATGGTATTTTCCTGAATATTCATGAGAATTTAAAAGGAGTTTTTATCTCCTTCCTCAAAGAACATAAATAAACCTGACACCTGAGACTGCTGTAAAACTAAAAATGAGCCATAAGCAATGCTAAGGACCTGAACTGGACTGTACAAGTCCAATGAATGTGCCTACTATTCCAAATTCTGCTGGAGGATAATAATAATTACCTTTAGGTCCTTTCAATTATATTTCTATATTTTATAGATTTGTTGAACTTTGTTCATACAATTTATTTTCTGCTATGAAGCTGAGTTAAAGCTGTATAGCTAAGTGTATCTGAAAGCTTGATCAAGAGCAGGGTATGCTTCACCAAAAATCAAACCAAATCAAACTGAACTCAACTCAACCATATGGAAAGACATCATGGAAAAAAGAGGACAAAAAGGATACCAGAACATCTGCATCCGGAAATTTATATATATAAGTGCAAATTAAAAGATAATAAATATAATTGAAACAAAAAAGCAAGACTAAATGTTATACTGGGTTAGACTGATTCAGGTGACTTCTCTGCCTGCTCAGTCTGTCATCCAGGAGCAAAAAGCTGATCCTCAGCTTAAAGGACTCCCTCCCTGTGGTTCTTTGCCTTTAAATCTGACTTTCTTGGAAAACTTCCAACAAAGAACTGCCATTTGACAGCTCTCCAGAATGCAGGACAATCCTCTGCAAAGTAGATCACCTGGATACCCCAGTAAGGCAGCTGGCTTTTTTGGCAGTTTCCTTGAAATATATGATTATACTGAATTCATTAGAAGTGGAAAGTTCTAATAGATGCTAAAATAAGTTATATTTATATATTAATTCTCTTTTGGAAAGCCAACAAAAATAAGAACATTAATATATTTTAGCAAAAACATGTAGATAATATGAAAGATTTGTCACAGTTATTACTGCATAGAGTGCTTTGCACCTCGTATTATAAAAGTTTATTAATGGTAATTTGAAAAATAAGTAATTAGGAAAGAAGACTTACAGTCATATCTCTCTGGTTCATAACAAATGTAGCATCTCATGAATATTTTTGTGAAGGCTTTTATACCAAACATAGCAATACAGTGGTAATTAGCAAATGTCTTTACATTTTTCAATCTCATGAGGTTATTTTGTTTCTGGTGCAGCAGTCTAGTACAAAGTAAATGTATGCATGTGTGCACACAGTATATTTGTGTGTGTGTGATATTTCATTTTAATGCTACATAAATTTATAAATTTCTTTTTGATGCTACATAATAGCTTCAAACATTAACCACACATTATGGTTAATATAAGAGCTACAGAAATCCAGAAAAGTGGTGTAGCTGGTACTGATCCAGTACTTACCATAACAATACCTCCAGACTGCTCTGCAGTGCACATACTCATTATAGGTGCCATGCCAATGGTAGTACCTTGGAAATAGGCTCCACTGATGGAAAGGGAAAAGAGAGGTAAAAAGAAATATTCACTATTTGAAGGCAGGCTTAGCTCATACCCAGCGGTGATCCTGAGTGCCCCTTTCTTTTACATATATGGAAACAGCTGAATGAGTAAAAATAAAGCACCTTGCACGATGCGGGGGATGTCGCAAATGTGGGCTAAATATACCCCAAGGCCTGGCTTTCACCAGCAGGAACATGGTGAGAATGCATTGATTCTTAGTGCAGTCACATGGTATCCCCCTAAGTTCCTGCCAATATATAGGCCTTTGATCCACCCTTCTGGTCATAACGAGGAGCATTTCACTAACAGCATTAACAGCCCAGCATTTCTAAAATTCTGTATATAACACTTCTTGAATGAATGAATTCTTTTTCACTGTCCCCTTCTTGCATTGGTAGGCATACCTCACTAGTTGTGCATTGTCATGGGGTTTACGAGGTAGTAGCTTCAACTTCCGCCAGTCCAGAAACTCATGGAGGCTGGTGAAGGGGTCTTGTGTTATTGTACACTTGTCCATATCATTCCAGATTTCCACTCCAACCAAGGCTATCCGAATATTTAGTGGCCTATAGAACTGAGTAATAAGAAACCCACCAGTATATTGTATTCTATTTGTAGAATATCTTACAATAATGCATGACAGTGAAATATTAATGTGTAAACAGCTAATGTGATTCATGCTTCGATTGGATAACTCTCTCCCCAATTTTGATTCCAGATGTAGTTGAGAAGTAAGATCATGACCTCTGGTTGTGCCTGTCCTGCTTCCAACACCCATGGTCATACAAGTTATAATATTTGAGTAAGATGAGTATGTATAAAATGTAATGGCTATGTCTAATTGAACAGCTGATGACTGGATAGCAATTGTGCTGGAGGTCTGTATGTTGGATCTTACACCTAATTATCCTATTCAAATGTATGGGTGAGGATATCTGGTGCTCTTGAAAACATGAAAAGTGTGCTGGGAGACACAATCTCACTTTCCTTCCTCCACCCCCACAGGGACGGTACCATGGCTTATAACACTGAATCCAGTCCATGATTTGGTTTCACAAATAAAGTATTAGGTTGGATCAATATATTAAAATCTGTTCTTGGGCAATCAATCCCTGAAAATGACAACAAAAAAGGCATAGCCACCCCATATGGTTTGCTACATGACTTACCTCTCAGTAGGTATGTTTGAATGATATGGCAAGACACCATGGGGCAAACAACCTTTAGAACAAGCCACGGCTTGTCAGGGTGGCATATAAGCCAAACTTAAGCTCAGCTTGACAAACATGTCCTGGGTTCAGCCAACATGGTAATTCACAGTGGCTTCAAAGCCATAGTGTCTCAGGAGTCATGCAAACCCAGTCACTGTCACTCATCCTCTGCCTTCTTAAGCCTCACAGCAAGTTAGTGGGCAGCACAATTTCTGGAAAAATTACAGAAGGACTGCGCCTCCCCATCGAGGCATGTTCCAAATGAAAATGGAATACTCCCCCCACCACAACTGTAAAGCAAGCAAAGATATACCTGTTAGCTACATCTATAAAGTAGCATGTAGCAAAGACTATATAGATCTGGATTTTTACCATTTTTGGGGTGACATTTATCAAAGAGCTGTAGATATTTAGATATTGACCATGCTATCAACTTTCTGGATATAGGCAGGATGAGTCCCTTTGCTTCCCCCGGCACAAGGGGGTTGCACCAGCTTTTGCATAGCTAACCCTTTTCTCTTTTCTGTCTCCTTCACAGTGACCAGACTGCTCAGCCTCTTAGTCACCTGAGATGTGTTGGTTGACTTTGCGAACTGAGGTGACGGGGCTATTCTCTATACACCATTTCTCCACACAAAACTGTTCTCAAAAATGGTTAAAGTGATCAACAGTAAGGCCAAACGGTTTAGAAGGTGGACTGCTTGAGAGAAACAGAAGCCATCACTCTTCCATTCAAACATTTTACCTTATCAACATAGTTTGCAATTTCTATCAGCCTCAGCTTCACTTTCTCCACATCCTTTCCTTGTCTCTGAAACTAGAAGACATACTGAAATAACTCTGAATTGTCAACATTGTCCAAGAAAGGCATTAACTATGACTTCCAGGTTGTTCATACAAAATGGGTGAGAGGAAAGCTCCTACAGACTGCAAGAACACTCTCATATGCCTTTAAACAAGCACAGATTGACCCGTGTTTCCTGCATTCACACAACAAGTTGAATATGGGTTGAATATGCAGGTTGAATAAGGGTTGAGTGTGACTTGTCATTGAACTGAGGGCTGTTGCTGCATCATGGGTTTTTGTGTTGTTTGCACTACTAACAGACCCTGATGTGTTAACCAGAAACAATCCATAGTTCATAATGCAGCAATAAAACATACATTCTCTTTGTGGGATGCTTATGGTTAACAAACTATGCTGTGTTAGCACAGTTGAGTTTACATAGCACTTGTGATTCAACAACAATCCATACACTCAACCCATTCTGAACCTGTATTGTAGTGTTCTGTGCTGCGTGTACCAAAGGCCATAGTTTTTCAAGAAACCACACACACATACTTCTAAAAAAAATCCTATTACCTTTGTCTTTCGGTCTCAGTACACTGTACAATGTACAGTGCCTAGAGATGTCATGGGAAGAACAGGAGGCATATAAATGTTTCAAATAAATAAATAAAAGCACTCCTCTTTAGCTGTCTTTCAGCCTCAGGAAAGCAATTCTACTGTTTAACCAGAGGTGTTCAAGATGCAATGTCTGTCATTTTGAAAAGGGGAAAATGCAAATTGGAAATTGTTTCAAAGCAAGGTTTTTCATTTTCAGATGCACTTCAGCAAGTTGAGCTATTTTTGACAATTTATTTGTTTTGAAGTCCTTTTTGCAAATGCTCCACAATTTATGCTGGCTTTGCTTCATTCAGTACCAGGAAACTACACTGAAAAAGCCCATGCCACAGACTGCTGTTACTTAGGCCAGACAGCCACAATCCATGCTTGGCTCAAAATTAAATAATAGAGCATAGGCCCAAGCATAAAAAATTCATGAAGCAATGTACAGCTGCAGGGTTGTAAAATGGTGGTTTTAAGGAGTACTGCCATACTTAGGAAACCCTATAGACATGCCCTATATTTTCCTGTTATTATTCATTGCATTGCATTTATATCCTTCCCCTTTTCCTTTTACAAGAAACTTGAGATAACTTACACAGTCCTTCTCCACTCCATTTTATCTGCACAACTACCAAACCATGAGGTAGATTAGGCTGAGAGTGAATGAGTGGCCCAAAGTCACCCAACGAACTTCATTGCCAGAGTTTTCCTGTCCAACAATCCACCCACTGTGCCAAGCTGGTTCTTGTTGCTGACACTGTGGTGTGCAAGGGGGGCAATTACACCAAACTTGGCAATTTCTTGGTTCTAGAGAATGATACATTTGAAGGAAGCATATGCCTAACCACTAACTCACATGCTCCAAACATCTTCCAGGTATTTCCTGTGTTCCCTTCATGTCCTATAATAGTATGTTTAAGAAAAGATAGGACAATATCTAGGCTTCTAGGCTTTTTGAAACCTCCAGCTGATATTGAGTTAGGTAGCCTAGTGGGAAGCCATGGCAAAATATGGAAGCACTATACCAACCAACATTGTTCAGACCTTTATTCAGCAGTGTGTTTCAGTGTTTGCATTTAAACTCTTAGTCCTATGAAGGCTTCTTACAGAGTCCAGATTCAAATGAATACTGAAATTTGTTATAGGACATTGCTACCACACTTGCTGAACCAGAAGTTCCAGGGGTCATTGGAGTAGGTAGTCCCAAGTAGAATTGCACAAAAACATGCATAGGGGAGAGAAACCCACTGTTTGCCGGTGGGATGGGCCTGGCTCCACCTGTCTTCCTGAATTCCCAGCCTGTGAAGCTTCATAATGCACTTACTGCATCATTTGGCCTATGTGAAGGTTCCTACTTGCCACCCCTGTTGCCTGCCAAGAGGCAAAGTGCCATGGGATTAAAGGTGCCCATTCTGGGCTCAGGGCATGGGGCCCAAATTAGGAGGTCTCCCTGATGTTTGAGGATGGGCTGCTTGAGGCACCTTGTGGGTTTCTGTGTTTCTGCTTTTTGCTGTAAGTTTGCTGTGGATGAGGTATCATTTTGTTAGTCCTCTTAACATGAATGTTCTAGTGACTTGTGTAATGCAAGTACATGCTTTTACTGATTCTGAGTATTGCAAATGCACCTATTGTTCTGTCTTGTGTACATTAGTGATACATTTTAAATGAAATATAATTGTATTATACTTATGCCTACAAATTCTCAAGAAGATGAATTTCCTGAACTTGTTATGCTAGTTTCCTTTAACTGTAGATGCCAGGGAACTTCTGAATGTGAGGCACATATTCTGTCTCTGAGACAGCTCTAACATATTCCATTCTACAAGTGGTAAAACCCCTTCACTTATTTGGGAGCAGGCAGAAACAGCAAGTAGGACATGGTATTCACCATGAATGTTTTTTGTTATCAGTAGAAATCCATCAGAGGCTTATCCCTTACAAGTATTTGATATATCTTGCCAACACATTTCTTTATATAAGTGACACTTTTAACCTTGGATTTTGCTTACCTCTCGATTATCAGCCACAATAATGAGCTCCACATACTTGGTGGATTTCCGGGATTCCCTCTTGTGCTAGCAAAACAATGGATCAGATGGACGGTGTTAGCATTTCACTGGAATTAAGGTTTCTAGACATTTGTCTCCTACAATACTGCTATATCACAAAACACTTAAATATCACTGACATTAGATATTTTTAAGGTTTTATTATATTTGTACCTACTTTTCTGCAATGGAGTTCTAAGGTACACTCCAGTCTAGCCACTTTCCTAAACCTGCTAAATCTTAGCCAACACATGCGGAGTGGGAACTTTCAAGCAGAGAGGAACGTACTTGCTGTCATTTTGAAAATGTCTCAAACAAAGAATTTCAGTAACTAGGTAGACTAATGCCTGTTCATGCCCTGCCCATTTGCCATTCAAGGACAAAAAGGCTGTTTTTTAGCCAGATTTTGAACATTCTTCTTTTATTTTATATGCAAATATGAGCCTGCTCTCACAGCAATATTTATATTTTTTCCAATTTTATGGCATTTTATCTGCATTTCCGTGTTTATAGACCCGAACGCTCTCTGGGTATTTATCATGAATCATTATGTTCGTATTTTCTGCTACTAGAGTTTGTACAAATGATGTTGGGATACCCAAATATCAAACACAGATGGGGCTACCCATTTTAAGAAAGATTTTGTATTTTTAAAATAGTTTAATCCACTTTGTGGGAAAACTGGCTGAAGGTGCATTTGTTAGAGGTAGTGAACATCCCCTGCTTGTGAATTTTTAGTAGATACTCATAATTCATTATTCATAATAGTCCAAACAAACAAAGACAAGAACCAGTTTCATGCTCCTGTAAGTAAAACCACATGGAATGAAAAATCCTAGGAGATATAAAAATGACAAATATGGCTTTAGCTCATGAACTTGTGGTGTCAGATTAATATTATTAATCTGTTCAATAACTTGCCCGGAGGGTGTGTTTCCTCAATAGACCATTTATTTCTGAAATAACCTAATTATCACTTCTCTCTACTTGCATAGCATGGATAATCATTATCATGGTGCAATCAATTTCCTCATTCATCCAAGAATGTACTTTCTTTAAAGATGAAATAATTAAACAACATAACATATATACAGATTATGGGAATGCAAAGAAAAAAACCCAACCTCATTAGGTTCTTGTTGTACCACATTATTTAGCTGTTTGTTTAAGAGTTTTTGCTGAACTTAGTGTCAGAACAGCTGGGCAGAATAGTGCAAGACACTGGCTAGGTTTATAGGGCATGAGAAGTGAAAGTTCAGGTTGAAATATGTGTGGGGTGTGGATTTTTGGTTTTGGGTATGGATTGTTGGACAGTGTGAATCTAGTTGCACTGAATCTAACTATGAACAACATAAAGTTCAGGAACCAACTTCAAAACATGATTGTTCATGGTTTCTTAGTATGGCTGAGTTCACACAACACAGCAATCCACAATTCAACATGCCATGGTTTAACAGCATCCCACACTCAACTCAAACTAAACCTGTACTCTCTCATGTTGTCTGAACCAGGTCATTACATCAAGGTTCTCAAGTTGCCTTCAAATAGAGGCTCTCAAAGGAGCAGGCTTCTCTTGTTTTTCTCAGTGGGTGAGGAAGCCAAGCCTCAGAGGCCATGCTTTGAGGTAGTGCCTCCCAACAGAGCTGGCTTCTGTCTCCCCTTCCTCTTTGTTGAGGGACATGTGTGGAATGCCATGCCTGGAGCCTTGGCAGACTGCATATGGAGGCTTGGCAGGCCCAGTCCATGGGTCTCCACTGTTATTTTGAATGTTGATTGCCTCCCGAAAACAAACAGCTTCTCAATAAGATGATAAATGGATATAATCTCCTAGGAATCTTAAAAAATAATAAGAGTACCTTTTATCAGATGAATTGTAAAAATATTTTCTTGGTTGATGTATTCATATAGTTTCAATAAACAAGAACTATTTGAACATTTACTGGTGTAGGCTTAGCATATGAAATGGTAACATGGATTTTTGAAGTATGTAGTAAGGAGAAACAATATTTGCAAATGCACTTTTTAATACTAATGCAATGCAAAACACATTTGTTCCAATGCATAAATAGCATCCCTTGATGCTGGCTTGGCTGGTATATCTAATTCAGAACTTAATAAAAATGATAAGTGGGCTATATAGCCAGTGTGCCTTATACACTGTAATTCTTTTCATGCAATAACTACTACAGGCAGATTTCTGCTTCCATGCTAATCCCTGATGTCTAATACAACCCACTCTTGAATGCTAACTTCATGTGTACATAAATTTGTGGTGGTATTTATTCCATCTGCTCATGCTCCTTTCCATATTATTGCATGCTACTCTCAGTTTTGCTTCAAGGATTAGGGTTGCTTCAAGTGTATTCCTCCTTCACATAACCAAATTACAAATGAAATGCCAATGTAGAGAACCTAATCTACCTACTTATACTTTCTTAGTAGAAATTACTGGACTATTTATACTTCTAGATAGTATTTGATTGTAGAATTACTGAAATTATACTCTTCTTCACTCCTTGGAAGAACTAATATCCACTCTACTGGATGTTTTGCTTTCTAAATTTGGAGCTTGTCACTACATTTTCAGTGGGAAAAGGTATCTATCATCAACATGTGCTTCTCTGTCAGTCCACTAACAGAAAATGTTCACCAAAGAGTTTCCTAAAGCATTTAGTCAGCTTATGTCAAAATGCTTGCTTGACAAAAATATTCTATATGTTCTAACGAATTGGGAACAAACTCTCTGAAATGGTTGCCAAAGAGGATTTACAAAATGATAGATACACAGGATAATAACCCTGTGGATGTGAAACATTTGACAATGATACTGTGTACAAAGTAGTATAGCTTCTCCTAGTCTTCTCTATTTTTATCTTATATTATGGCAATATGGCTTGATCAGATTTCACCTCAGTATTGGAGGCTTAATATCAGATTTGTCTATATTGGTTTTTCTTTTCTTTTTTTTAACATAAAGAACAATTCGCTTCCCACTTACTCTGTGAGTAAACATATGGGTTGGCTGTGCAGTATTCCTTGCTGTGACACCTGAAAGGTTGAGATGATGGCCACAAGAACCGGGAGCTAGTTTCAGATTTTTTGCTTGGTAGAGTATATGTTCATTTGTAGCACCATCCAGTGGCTCCAAAATATAAGCTTTATCTTCAAATAAAATAAATCCCCTGTGATATAAAAGGTAAAAATTATGATGCTGAGGTATATTTTATTAATTGTTCACAGGTAAGTGACAGATTTTAAATTAATATGAAAGAGTAGCATATGTTTAGGACAAAGCCTGATAGGGCACAAGCTATAAAGTCTGTATGTTTGTAATCCTGGCATACAGTTCATTTCACTAGAGTTACTATTTTTTGATGCTTAAACCTTGCAGCCTAGTGTCAAACTGTGTTTGCATTTCTCATAATGCCTTATCATTTCTTCAGCATTTGCAATGGCCTAGCTTGAAAAGATACCAAACAAAAATTAATGAAAGCAGGTAATATTGTTTTTAGGGTCCTTAATGTTTAATTCAGCATGCCTAATTGTATTATTAATGAATAAATAAAACTGTCTATCTACAGCAACTTAAATTAGAACCAACTCACAAAACAAAATTGGTGTTTTGAGAACATAGAAATGGAATCTGTGAAGCATTCATTGCTCAGCAATATGCTTATGTAATTGCTTCACTCTATGACCAACACAATGTTCAACCAATGCCATCCATGCCCGGTTAAAAATGGTAGTCTTGTATTTATATCTACAATATCATCAGTCTTAGTACCAGTGCTATTCTGCATTTAAAGGAAAAATGCAAGTAAAATACATACACATTAATAAAATCACAATGAAACTATAGCAAAGATGAGGGGAAATCTCAGCACCAGAAAGCAGACAAGCCTTAAAGTACAGGAGATGGAAGAGAAGGGAGAAGCTAAGCAGAAACCATTTTCCATGGATGGAAAAAGCAAACACCATCTTCAGGGCTCTTCTTTAACCCCAAACTATTCCAGCAGTGAGCACACTTTAGATTCAGAGAATGAATGTGGATTATCCTCACAATAGCATTGGAAGGAAGAATAGAACCAGTCACCCCTTTGCTACAAAATACAGGGGAATCCAAGGAAGCCTAGCACTTACCTAGAGCGCTAGATACTCTGCTCTGACCACCCCATGATCCTATTTCCTAGTGGATGAAGAACTCAAGGGGAGTGCCTGGGTGGGGAGAAAGACCATCCATTTTTCTTTAACTGACTTTCCCCGATGGGAATTCCCTTTGGACCACTTTCTGTTTTTGACAAGATATTAGAATGTTGCTATCTGGTATCCTCTCTACAGGAGAGGAACCATTTAAGAAAGCATAATATCTCTTTATCAGAAGAGGCAACTGAACACAGTTTTTCTTCCTTGGTCAGCAACCCCCACTCCACTTCAGTATGTGCACATACACAGATATTATTGATTAATTTAGTTATATTAGGGTTTTATGTGCTTCTGTTGGAATGTATTGATGTTGTTTTTATATTAACTTTTTTGACACTGACATTTGTAATTGTTTGTATTGTTTGAATGGTTATATTTGTATATTCGTTGTTCACTTAATATATTGGGCATTTTGAGCCCAAGTTTATGAGAAAGTATCATACAAATTAAAAAAAGAGTGTTGGCTGGTGTGAGGAGAGAGAGAGAGAGAAAGAGACACAGAGCAAGGACAAGAGAGACTATAGGCTTGTAGTCAGCCTAAGGCCTTGAGGGCTGTGGAAACCCAAAGAGTCAGGGGCAATTTACCTTTTCTCCAGGCTTTTTCAAGGCAGAATTCTAAACAGTTTTTATTTAATCCTTATTACAGTCATACTGTAATTTATAAATATACAAAATGTTTCACTGAGTAACATCAACTATTGTTAGGATTCTTGCCAATTAACCAAAAAGACAGACAGACAGAAAAGTCACTTTTAGAAACACAGAAACAGAGAGAATCAGAAGGGGTCTCCTGGGCCATCTAGTCTGACTCCCGGCTCCAGTCGGATCTGCTCATGACATGTCCACCATGTTCATGGCTAGCCTATCCTTGCACACCCTCACCGATGGGGCCTCAGCCACCTCCCGTGGAAGCCCATTCCATTCCCTTGAGATCCCAAGTTCTTCCTGGCATCCAAGTTGAACCTTGACTCCCTGAGCTTTGCTCCTTTGGAGTGTGTCCTGTCCTCCTCTGTAGGGGAGAACAGGTCAATGAAAAGCTACAACAGGAATATTCGTATCATATAATCATTTAGTTGAAAGGGTCCATTTAGGCTATTGACTCCAGGTAATTTTGAATGTTGTTTCTGTCTTCTAAGATGTTAGGTATCCCATGCAAGACTGTGGCGTCTTCAAATGTGATAATATTTAACTGTAGCTGAATCCACATGTCCAATCCTTCATTGAACCACTAGGTGTTGTAAAGAATTAGCTTTACATATTTGAGAAACATGTCCCTTCTTAGAGAGAGAGAGAGCGAGAGAGAGATGACTGTTCACATAAGTCAAAATGTTATTTCATTTCAGACATACTCTCAATTGTATGCAAGCAAAAATTCTTTGATGACTTAAACTTTCATATCTCGAGGTTTATATGGAGAAAAAAACAACCAAGGATTAAATTAAAAATGCTTCAGGAAGCTAAAAGAAATGGAGGTTTTGGTCTTCCTGATTGGATGTTGTATTATCAAGCATCTGTTTTAACTTGGCTAAAAGAATGGGCAACGTTGCGAAATAAGAGAATTTTGTATCTTGAAGGTCATGACTTGCAGATGGGATGGCATGCTTATATGTGGTATGAAAAAGCTAAGCCACATGGGTCCTTCCTGAGTCATTTTATTAGAAGATCTTTAATGTCAGTGTGGGAAAAACTAAAGCGAAATTGTACAATAAGTTACCAAGATGGCTTTCACCTATGGAAGCTTTTGTATATCCAAATGTATTGAACTTTGAAAAGATCATAAGATATGGCGATATCCTGGATAAGGATGGTGGTCTGAAACTGGAGCAAGAAATACAAGAACAGGGACTTAATATTTCCTGGTGGTATAAGGTGCAGATGCAATCAAGATATGCTAAGGATTGTAAAACATGGGGGTTCTATAGAGACCTAACAGAATTTGATCAAGTGATGCTTAAAACAGATGAGAAAATTATTAAAAGACTATATGATTTTTTACTTGACAGGAAAATGGAAGGAGAACAGGTTAAGGAAACTATGATAATATGGGCACAAAACGTTGGATTTAATGTTGAACTAGAAAAGTGGCCAAAACTATGGGAAAGAAACATTAAAGTAACTTTAGCAACTTTGTATAAAGAAAACTTATATAAAATGTTCTATAGATGGTATTTGTCACCAAGTCAACTAGCTAAGATGTTTCCAAATATGTCAAATAGATGTTGGAAATGTAAACATAAAGTGGGTACTTTTTATCATATGTGGTGGACTTGTGACAACGCAAAAAAGTACTGGATTAAAATACATAGATGGATGGAGGAAATATTACAAAAACCCTTTGCTTTTAAACCCAAAGTTTTCTTGTTAGGCATTATACCGGAAGATGTTAACAGACAGGAAATCTATTTGATGTTGCATCTAATTACAGCGGTGAGGATTGCATTTGCTCAATATTGGAAAAGTGAGGAGCTGTCCACCGATGGATTGATTCTAAGAAAGATCTTGGACTGTGCAGAAATGGATAGACTGACTTTATCGTTGAAGGAGAAAGAGGATACTGATTTCTATCGAACTTGGGACTCTTTTTATAATTGGCTGGAGAAACGGGACTTGGCGTAAATTTAGAGATGTTTTTCAAACTATGATAAACTAACTGGAATTTGATATTAGAATGTTAAAAATATGTAGTAGGAGGTTGACCCAGTGAATCCAATGTTAATGTTTGTGATGTTTGTTTTTGTTTTTTTTAAGTCTTAGTTTTTATTTATATATATATAAAAGAAGCCACACCTATGGTTGAATATATGTTGAGTATAGATGTTCGTTGAACCATGGGTGGTTGTTGTACTGTGAGTTGTGTTGTGTGAACACAGCCAACTTAACAAACCATGATTTGTTAATAATGAACAATCCACAAAGAAAACTCATGTTTTGTTGTATGATTGTGAACTGTAAAAAAAGCAAATAATAACCAAAAGGAAATCAGCACAATCCTCTGTTGAAAAATGGGATTATTTCTCATGGGTGCTAGGTCAATTCTCTCTGGCAAAAGGGGGCTTTCTCCCCTACTGCTCTATGATTGCAGCCAGCACCCTGACCTCTTAAAAAGAGAGAAGGTGTGATTATGTGACAACCCTTGAATGTCTACTTGGGTCTGCACTTAATAGGCCCATGCCTAAGAACTGTGACTTGCTGTTGTAATAGGCTTACTACTGTATCTGAACCAGATACCAGGAGATATGCATTTCTTCTAGAAACTCAGCACTCCAGTGATCTGTCCTGAAGTGCAAATTGTCTCTCTATACCACACCTGCTTCTACTTCTGCAAGGCAGGGATAACACTTAGCTCTCTCAATAGGGTGTTATAAAGCTTAACTGGATCCTCTGCAGAAATCATCTTTAGGAATAAGCAGCATTAATTCCTACTGTTTTCACAAAGTGGCTGAATTCCAGCTTATGTAATTACAGTCAAATTGCCTGTATGGATAAGACCCTCTTTAATTCCTGAACCCAAACAGCTATATGATATTTAATACATATTAGTGTCTTTTTCAGGCAAAGCTGAGTTTCAGACTCTGTTCCTGCCAAGCTAAGAGGGCAAGGTCTTGAAAATATGCACAAGGGAAAACATAAGACAAACTGATCTGGATTATGTGGTTGTATAAGGATTTGGTCTTTTCATACAATTCAATCTGCAATAATCTCCAGGTAGGGCTGCATTAAAAATATGTTTGGAAATCACAACTTCATTTCAGAATGTCTACAAGAAAATAACAAAATGGAAAGAAACACCAATTTTTCCAACTTCCTTTAATTGCCAAGGAGAGCTCCTAATTTTGGCACCCAATCTCTGCTTAATCACTTTCTCTATATTTTATCCTTTTGTGGGATTCATATGGTTAGTTTGACTTGCTAGCATCATTTCTTTCCAAAGTTCAGCTGCATCAGGGTCTCTAGAAACAATATGGCTAATGGGATGGGA